TTGCAGGCAGTTGCCCGACTGTAGGGCGAGGGCAGCAACACGTGGTGATGCGGACAGGGACTGCGGTCCTAGGCACAACACCAGTAAGTGTTTTTTTATCTTCTTGTTTTCGCAATAAAGTGTGCTTTCACGTCTATCACATGACTATACAGGACAGTCATGATGGTTCCAACTCCACTCCCCCCATGCATCTATGGGTCACGTGATGTCGGCCATGTTGGTTCCACTGTCCACATGACAGGATCACTTCGTACACTGATTTAGTCACATGACCGGGATGCGAAACCAATCTACATGATTGTACACACCGCCGCTGGTGGAGTTTCTTGACTAAAAGATTCACCAACCGATGTTATAGCGTTCGCGTGCAATGTAGCTCCACGGCCTAACAATTATACAGCTGTACAGATTGAGATTCCATCTCGATGCAGTGATGCGTCAGGGGTTTGGAGTCACAAATGCTCTCTTCGATTTTCTTTTCCCGTCCTTCTGTGCACTGTAGTTCTTAGGATGACGATGCCGCAGAACAACGTCATAAGCGGCTCCACCATCAATGTCACTTGTTCCAGCGACTTCCCAATCACAACACAGGTGGATTGGACCGTTCTCCCAGCGCCTCCCATCGAGGCCTTGTCGTTCTCCGGACCAATGGGCACCACGCTCACCATCTCTCCCATCACGGCCGACGTCAACAGAGATACGGTTGTCCACCCCGTGTATGTGATTTGCGTGGCTGACGTTACGGGCGGAATAGGCCAAGGACTTGGCAGTGCTACGCTACCTGTTTGTAAGTACAGTGGATTCCCGAAAGTGGCTGTAGCTTAGCTGTATAGTGTCTATGATCCTCACGGTCGTCACATCGCCTTTGGAGGTGAGGCGGCCATGGGGGTCCTCCCCGCGGAAAGGATTCGAAAATCGAAGCCTACTGCCATCGCTTCCGGACATTATTTTTAAAATGCATGGATTGTTATCCAAAGATGGTGCAACATCTGCGGTGATTAGTGAAGAAAGTGTCTGCTCCAAACGTGGGAGGTCGCGCGTCCTGCCGACCGATTTGACATTTTACTGACCCAGGACTGCATGTGGAGCACGCGAGACGCCAGTGGAACCTTCCACTCCGCAAACCTGCAATAAGGGCTGCTCATGTGCTCCAGACGCAGTCGTGAGTCAGTGTCATGTCAAGTCAGTCGGCAGGAAGCGCAAGCTCCCGCATTCCGTGCAAACACTTTATTGCGTTGATTGTTGTCCCCGTTTGAAATACATGTAAGGCGCCTATGTTTCGCGTGTCCAATCACCCCAAGTGCTGTAAGGTCTAAAGCTTCACTGATGGCGATTGAGTAAGAGAAACTAGAATAGTTACGCTGACATTGCCTGCTGATAGCGAGTTGCAACAAACTGGCCTTGTGCCTTTGTTGTATGGTGTACAATTATGTACAGTAGTCCGGCTGATATTGGGTGATACGCTCCTCATCATTCGTCTTGTTGAGCACTCTTCGTGGGCTGCTCTAGTGCTGCTGCATTACGCATCGCTCGCTACATTTCGTGACTTACTTAGCCCTTTGGAGCCCGTACATTCAAATATCGACGGTATACCGTCGATGGACTAAAACGTTCGTAACTCACTCGAAACTTGACAGATTTCCACGATCGAAATATCTGGGAAGAAGCCGAAGAGCTTAGCTTTCTAATGCAACACGCACCGAAGAGCAATGATATCGCGTTGCAGAGATATTGTGCTCGACATTTCAGTCACGGCAAAAGTCGAACTTTTTTCTCAGTGACTGGCCTTGAGTGAGGGATTTACCCTTGGATTATTTTATTTTATTTTATTTATTATTATTTATTGCAACATCTCAAGACTCGGCGGAAACACCGGCCAATATTACGAGAGTGGGTGATTGCCAACCACGGCGATAAATAGAAATAAGGGGAGGGAAAAAGAAAGAGTAGCAAAACGAACAGCAACAACAACTCCGTAAAGAAAGATAATGTCAAATAAAAACAGTGAAAAACACAGAGACGCAAAGGACATGTGGATAATGAGCTATGCATGTCGTAGTAAATAAGGGGCGGCACGGATCTTAAACAGGCGGAGTGAGGTCAGGTCCTTAACTTCTCTGGGTAGAGTGAGCCAAACAGAATAAGCAATAAAGAGAGGGGAGCGCAAAAGAGTGGATGAGTTACACTTAGGGAGTAAGAGTGAGTTTCTAGTTCTTAGAGAAGAGAACCAATTAAAACACATGAGATGAGGTGGGCACAACTCAAGCTTAATAGAATGGACAAGAGAAGCCAGGTGTGCACTGCGTCCATGTGATAACGGGGTTGTGTGAGCGATTTTATAAAGGGCGGATGATGAGAGCATGCGGGGTTGACGGAGGAGAATTTAGGATGACATGCTGATTCATTCAGGCACGCTTCCTGCACGTGGCCAGCATAAAACAAAACTCAGCGCAAAAAAATAAGCGATCCGTTATATGAATGAAAGTGAAATGGCTGGCGTCGAGGAAATTTGGTCGTATATCCAGCGCTGTGGACTGTTTGAGGCGCCGTCGCGTTGGATATGTGACCGCTGTGGTTTTGAATTTGAGCTCTAGTTACTCCGCTCACGGAGAGCTTTCCAGGAAGCCCACGATTATGGAAATCCAAAAACGAGCACCAAAGTTATTACCAAAATAAGGTAAATAATATATCGCAATTGCAGTTGCATACAATTATAAGGGTTATTTGGGGCTGTATTGATGAGGCCTATATGGCCGAAACAGCTTTCTGTCTGCAGCATTAGGTACTCTAATTTCAGAAATTTCAGGTGCATGCTCATTATTTTCGATATGAGGGCAAAAGGCCAGGTTAGGTGAACAGAAATTTTAAGTACAGAGACGCAACTCCTTATTGGATTATGTGTGTTAGTGTTTGTTCGGTGTATTGAAATTTTAGGTATGAACCAGATGCACCGAAAGTACGGAAATTAAAACTACACCGATAATTATTGTGAAAAGAAGAAGGACAAAATGTTACGAGTTATGACTTACTGTCCACCAACGTAACCAGATCTTCTACAGTCAGCGATTGCCACAAATGGCACAAAACTGACAATGAGTACTGAGACATGACACCTAGCTCCAACACTTCTCCAAGGCGCAAACCAACAACTTTCCAACTTCATTTGGTCCTCATTCTTTTCACAATAATTTAATTGGCTCACCATCCGAGTTACACCGATAATTTGGGAAATTACAGTAGTTGGGCTGATATCATAATTTTTCTAATCCGGAACTTAGCCGAATATAGTGATTGGGCCAGACAGTAGGAAGGCAGACACTATGTGACCCAACATGACACGTCATGCCACCTACATCTATACTGCTTTCAACGCAAAATGAAAACAGCAACCCACACGAGCTGGCATTGTGATTCATTCATCTCTTCGTTGCTTTCACAGGGTACGACGTGTGTGCTGATGCTGATGTTTGCACGCGAACCTTCGGCATCCCACGGGGCACCTCCGACTGCGTATTCCCGACCACTGGCCGTCCGCACTGTGTTTGTCGTCCTGGCGACGCCAGTCGAGTATGCAGGATAGTGGACGGCTGCGGTGTTATGGCTGCTAATGCTACTGGCGCAGCAGCAGCGGACGTCCTTCGGTGTGTGAACAGCTTGGGATGCATGCACAACGACGCCAGTAAGTACTGTCTGAAATGAATCTCTCGTTTTGGAGGCAGGAGCACGATCCACAGTGAATTCCACAGCGATCCATTTAGTAGGATGAAAACCCCACGGAACGCAATCACTACCTCCCGCACCACCACCTTCACAAAAACGACCACAAGCACCACGAACACCACCAGCACCATCACCACAAAAATCAGTCAGTTTCCCATCTCATATAGGTGCTATACTTGGTCTGATTTTGTTTACCTTGGCATTGTGCTCTCCGAGGCGTTGTAAATGTATTTCAAACAATTTATACTGAGCAAGAGTTCAAACGTTACACAAGGGGATTCTTACTGCTACTGATTTGCCCATTTTAAAACTGGCTGCCTTGCCCATCACGAATTGTCATCACGTTCAACCATCCACTAGGGAGGTTAAGTCCCACGTATTTAACGGATACGTGGGTGATACACGTGAAGTTCATGAAATGGACCCACGTTCGCAACGTTGTCTTTATTATTATTTTATTATTATTCTCGTATCCGTCCCGAATGGGACTCACGACGGCAGAATTAACTGTGAGCATGTGTGTGTGAGAGTGGGAGAACGAAATGAAAAAGAAAAGAAGAGTCTTGTAATAAAGGTCAAATTTAAGAAGAGCAATACTAGACTAAATGGCTGAGCAGATGTTACTCCATTGTTTTCTGTCGCGGGCATAGGTGCCGAGATCACGAAGGCAGCTGGGCTTAAAAATGCAGATACATGTAGGTGTGAGGCGGACGTCTCGCTAGAGACTTGTGGTGAGGCAAGAGCTTGGTGCACCTATTAGAAAGGGCTGACTGGTAGCATATGTACAGAAAGCAGTGAGAGCAACATTTGCAGGGATGTCACTTGGCTGGCGTAATAATATATGTCCTAATAGCTTCACACGGAACAAACAAAATCATGAAGCGAAAAACCCAAACTTGGTCAAAGACGAAGCTTAGAAGCTCATGGAATATATGGATTTCGTGCTTCGGAAACTTCTTCAGCTGAGCACCCTCAACGCTTGCAAAATGCACTCCATTCTGATGTTCACCCACGTTCTAGCGGAACATGGGTGAGCCACCATATACGGTATGTCGTGAATCAGAAAACGCCTGTATGACGTGGATCACTGAGTATCACGTGGTACATGTACACACAGTAAAGTATACACGGATTACGTGGGGCTAAATCACCCTATTGTTGCTGTAGCCTTACATGTCCGTGTTGTTATTTTGTTCCCTGCCCTTTTCTTCTCCAGCCGGTGTGGTCGAGTGTAGCGGATCGGGCAGTAACGCTGTCGTGCCAAGCCTCATCGCGTTGCTAATAGTGATGGTCGGCATGGTGATCGGCGGACTCCACATATAGCATGCATCTATTCTGGGGTGTCATTGTGTTAACATGGTGCACGGTTGCATTTTCGTAACTGACGAATTCACATGACCCTCACATACAACAGCATCACTTTAGATTGTAATCAAATTGTCAAGCATTCTTTGTGTGTTTTTCTGACAATCTTAAACCAAATCATTTTGTATCAGAACAGTGTAGCGGTAATAAAGTTTGCACCTCACCTTGTACCATCAAATATTGTTATAATAATTGTCAGCATTTCATGACCGATCTTTTGGTATTGGTACTCAGTGTTGGTAGTTTGACAAGGAGACCTCTTTTACGGGCAAACAGAATACAATTGACAGTGGCATGGCGAATGATTAGAACACAACACGAAAAAAGGAAAACAATGGTATGTTTAAACAGTAACATTAATTTTGGTAGGGGAAAGAGCCAAGAGTCCCTAATCCCGTAGGTAGTTAGACGAGTATAATGAGATGTGTTCTCGCACATGTGTGCGTGTCTGTGTATGTGTGTGCTGCATGTGTGTGCTAATTTGTGCGCGCACGTGCACTGAACAGCTATCATTAGTAGTAGCTGAGTACTTTCAGTTATCATAAAAGTGTTTTCACAATAATTATTATTGGCATAATTTGAAGTACGCTTCACGCCGCTTCATTGCACTTGAATAGTTTGCAGGCAACCTGCCTATACATACACTCAAGAACGCACTGCATTTCACGATACTTCTAATGAATTTGTGTGAAATGCAGTGCTCTCTTGAGTGCAGGCAGGTTGCCTGAAAACTATTCAAATTATTTTGTAATGGATAATCTATCCGACCTGGACCATAACATGTACAGTGTTAATGAAATCCGATCGAGCGGGTTAATGCCCGGCTGGGCGCTGTGTAGCCAAAGACGTTCGATCAGTGTGAACTGTTGCACGGCGCTAACATGATTCACCTGATCGGATTTCATAGCACAGCTGCAAAAGAGACCAGTGAAAGTTTGGGCATTGCTGCCTAATGTTATTAAGAGGCACTGGTCATACCTCAAGGTGTTGCAACATCAAACAACTCCAAAGACTACACATCTTTCTGACTGATTATTATCTTGTTTCAGCCGTGGATAGTTGCTTCAAAACTCGTTTCCATATGATTTCTTTAATTTTAACAACACATCCTCTGTTAAATATTAGGCGAAGAGACAACAATTTTAATAACGCAATAAGGCGGGAGGGGGACATCTTCTTCTAATTTTCGTTAACGCCATGTTCATTTGGTCCGGGCATCCAATGTGATGATTGTTTCGTCTTTCGAACAGACGAGACCAGACGATGCGGTCAGACACGAGGATTACCGTTCGCCAGCCCATCAACAACACCTCACGACAGCAATTAGAGACCAAGGCAGACCAAAGCCCTCTCATGAGTTCACGAGAACTCATGAGAGGACAAGCAGTGAGTGAATGATAAAGTGTAGTCATATACTCAAATAGATCTATCATAATAACATAAAATATAATTGTCGCAGGGTGTGGACAGTCGAATAGCTAACACATGTGAAAACAAACCTAAACTAACGATAATCGAGATGTTGTGACCACTACCCCGTTCACACCTGTCAGAAGAGCTCCTAGTGAAGCAGCGGCGAAGGTTCTACACGGGAAGGTTAAAATATAACAACCTCGCACTCACAAGCAAGGAGAGTTCCAAGTTCTTTAACCTGACCGGTTTCTGTGACATGAGTCACTTCATCAGAGGAATGAAGATAAATGACAATATGGAACTCAATATAACCAGCAAACTGGACAGACAGGTTTTGAGCACTGTCGAGTAATTAGGGCGAAAAAAGCAATTTAGTGATTTAGCGCGAAAAAAGCGTGAACAAAACATGGGGTTGCTTGCGAGGCGAAAAACAAACAAGAGGTTGAGTGCAAGGCATGGAGGTAAAAAATACCTATACCCATCGTGACTGTGGTTTCCTAAAACATAAGTTAGCAAGAAAATAATTTTGCATGGTGCGTTGAAGGCTGAGGAGGGCAGGGTGATAGTCAGTAACAAAAACTGTGGGGCAAGAGGCAGAAGCTTGCACAGAGCTAGGAACAAGCTAGCAAGCAAGCTAGCAAGCAACCCCGTGTTTTGTTCACGCTTTTTTTCGCGCTAAATCGCTAAATGGCTTTTTTCGCGCTAATTACTCGACAGTGCTCAACGCCGGTCTGTCCAGTTCGCTGGTTATATTGAGTTCCATATTGTCATTTATCTTCATTCCTCTGATGAAGTGACTCATGTCACAGAAACCGGTCAGGTTAAAGAACTTGGAACTCTCCTTGCTTGTCAGTGTGTGGTTGTTATGTTTTAAGCTTCCCGTGTAGGACCTTCGCCGCTGCTTCACTAAAGAGAAGGAGAGGCACAGAAGTAGGTTTTGTTATAAACTACACCTCACAACGAATACTGGAGTGATTACGAAGGCAGCTAAAAAGTTGAAGTCAAGTAATTTGATAGGTGAAAAGATCATGTTGGACTTCTAATATGAATAACAATATTATTTCAAGCTGCCAAAGACACTGCTGAGGGAACGCTGGTTTGTATTCGTGGGTCCCCATGGTGCATGTACCACGCGTACTCATCCGGCGGATATGTGTGAATAATAGTAACAAAGACAAATATTTCACTAACCTTCCAAGTCATCTGACGGTAGGTAAAATTGAAGCTGCTGTGTATGATAATATTGGGGAACTGTGAGTTGGGTAGGGTCAAACTGTGAGCTTGCAAAGCGACGTACATGTATGCGTGCGGTACGAACTCTGCAGTCTGCATGGAGCATGCAACGCCCTTCTCCTTGCAGCAGATCATAAAATTATTTGATTCATCGTTGGAAGATTACCTAGTCCAGGACAAGTCATTTGTGGCTGATGACAAATTATTAATGTTGGAGATTATTTTATTGAGCGGAACAAGACATAAAGTGAAGCAGATCATCAAGTTCTGAGAAGTCAGCGCCAAAGAGGTGACAATATCCGATTCTGGGAGGCGGGTTACTTGCACACATCGTTAAATTACTAAGAACTGTATTATTTGGCTGCATGCGACTACATCGGGATTCCAGAGACAAGTAGAACCAATCTACAGCAACCTGTGCTCAGCATTTGCTCATGCAACTAGATATTGCCATACACATTGGAGGTATGTTGACGATCAAAAAGTTCATGCACTGATATCTGTCACAGGCTGACGTACCAAAACGAGTTCTAGTATGTGGCGATATCCACCAAGTGCCTGCTAATTTACTTCAGATAACCCCTCATGCTTTGTTGATACTGCTGTCCGTGATGATTCAGTGGTCAAGGTCAGTGATTTCGCTTTCCGCATGCTTATCCTGGTTCAGGAGAGGGTCTGCGGGCCAAGCCTCTTTCTTCGGCTTAGCAGAGAGGCGAAGATTATTTCCGACGTGACGCGCAATTTCACGTCCAATTATTTTTTGTTTGGAGTGGAACTCCAAATTTCGACGTGAGCTGCAGGTCACTCGCGTTGTTTATCGACGCGCGAGCCAAATAACGCGAGCTTAACTTTCGCGTAACGTCAGAAATAACGGGCATCGAAACCTATGTCGTTCAGTGAGAGGCGCTGTTTATTCCCTGCCCGTACAGTAGTATTGCTGCTGCCAGGAGTCGCCCTTGCCTTGTGACGTTTTCAAATGGTCTCAGCATAATTCTGCGGATGGAATGGGAGAGCATTGTTGCGCTCTAACCTGTTTAGCACAATCTAGCCCTTGCTTGTGCTTGATAGTGCTTGATAAGAAGCAGTTTCTCTCTCCCTCCTGTGTGAGCGTAGTAACATCATTACACCGGAGGATGTACCGTGTTGCCTGATAATTGCGAGAGCATGAAACTTGAAGTAGCTGCAAACAAGCCTTGTTTGTCCTTGTTGTTCTGTTCTGCAACATCATTATATTCGACAGAGATTTACGAGCTGCTAGTCAACATTTGAGGCTGGTCTGATAGAAGCTGAACTGACCTTTTGGAGGTTTGGAAACGGGTGCCTGCGATTGCTGAAATGGCCTCGCTGCCGAATAAAAGTTCTTGGTCGGAAAAAGGGAGATTTGAAACATTACTGTTGGTGCTAGTCGTGTTCGCTGTTTGCGCCCAAGCTCAAGGTACGGTACACGTTCAAGTATCGATGGGCGATACGGATGTTGATTTTAGCTGTATGCTCCACTGTGCGCGGGATAAGGAATTCGCAAAAAGGAACATGCGCTTGCCAATCTGATGGTTCTGTGGTATTCAGTAAAAGAATACAATAATAACAATTACGGAAACTTGCATAGGACCATCCTCAACTTCTTCATGACGCTTCTCCCCTCCTCCAGACAAGCCAAAAGACACACACGCACATGCATACACTCAAACACACCATGTTGACACCAACTCCGCTTCCACTGATCACCAATACCATAAGCCTGGGCTGTGGAAAAAACCCTTGGAGTATAAATGTGGCTGTAAATCTGTTAACGTGTGGTATATTTTTCAAAAATTCCCCGGAGGCCGTTTAGGCCTATCAAGGGGGTTTCTATTCTGTACAGGTAGGATGAGAATATGAGAATACTAAGTGAGCAGAGAAGGAGAAATAACACGACGAATAGGACAACTGGGAGTGAGCAAATCAATGAGGAAAACATATAAAATTTAATGTAAACATTATTATGACAATGGTATGTGTTATACATGTTTCGTATAGCATGGGTAGCATAATTCAAGACATTGCCTGCCATTTGCTTTGTATAGTTCTTTGATTTGCAACGCATTCCAAAAAGAAGCAGAAGCAGCCAAATAGAATCCCTCTCAGCCTCAGGAAATTAATTTAAAAGACCTCCGAAGAAGATGTTGACTGTCATACGGAGGCCCAGAATCTGAGGAGATATTCTCTGCACGTCAGTGACTATAATTATTATCACTAAGCTACAGCTGTATAGGGTAACTGTTAGTCATCATTCCAAGCAGATTCTTTACCATTGCGTACGTCTACCTGCCCTTATCTGAATGCCCTTTCAAGGCGAATACATGTATGCCAGTATTTTATCGTTAGCTGACGAGCTAGACGTTGTTATCGGCTCCCAGTCCCTGAAACAGCGGTGTGGTGAGCCTATAAGGAGGATCATTTCCAAGTTCCGAGGTTTCAGGGGGGGGGGGGGGGTGTCGGACGTTGGGCGCTTCAATAGCGTATTTGAGTGGTATTTCACACATTCCTCCCGAATCTCTCTTCCCCTCTCCCGGAGGCACCC